TAAGTGAATGAATATTACATACAAGTAGCAAGATGCAATGAAGTCCTGCTCAGGACCATCAATACAAATATGTAGAAGATGGGTCTTTTTGTGAATGTTACTCATGGCTTCTAAAAATGGGAGATTCTTTTGCAGAGACAGATTGACAGAGCTAGTGGCTATTATAAGAAATTGCCATATGCCTCACTTGTGAAGACTGAGAGAAGACATGATGGCCATGTATAAATATATGAGGGGAAGTCATGGGGAGGAGGGAGCAAGCTTGTTTTCTGCTGCCCTGGAGACCAGCACATGGAACAATAGCTTCAAACTACAGGAAAGGAGTTTCCGCCTGAACATAAGGAAGAACTTCCTACCTGTGAGAGCTGTTCAGCAGCGGAACTCTCTGCCCTGGAGTGTGGTGGAGCAAATAAAAGATACTTTTGAAGTTGACCTCTATGCAATTGTCTACCATAGAGGAATGCAAAAAAGTAAACTTCTCTCTATAGCATCTACCATTCCACATTTTGGATGTCCTAATATGGTAGGATCTGGATCTCTTCTAACAGACGTATTGCAAAACAGCTTGATTTTGAAGGATTAACAAAATAGCTGTGCTGCTGTCTAAAGTTGTAAAGCAGTATAATTACTTATGCCAAGTTCTATTTTGTATTCTGTTAGTCCTCTGTTTAATCCTTGGATTATGTATAAACAGTGGACACCCTTCAATTAGAATTGACTATCTGTCCTACAACCCAAAAAAGTAAAACAAAATTATGCCACTTTCAAACATGCCAGTGGTAAACCCCATCCCATTGCTCACAATACATCATAGACTCATAGAATCATAGAGTTGGAAGAGACCACATGGGCCTTCTAGTTCAACCCCCTGCCATGTAGGAAAAGCACAATTAAAGCACCCCTGACCGACGGCCATCCAGCTTCTGTTTAAAAATATCCAAGGAAGGAGTTTTCACCACACTCTGAGATATTTCATGCTGGAAAGTAATGAGTGTTGGGGGAGTGGGCTTATTAGCAAAAGACCCTCCTCATAAATACACAGCAGAGTAACTTAGCAGCAGCGTGACCCAGCACCAGTAGCCAAAAGTGATAAAAATAACAAAAACTCAGAGGTCAATGTTATATCTTCCTTAGGAGGCTTTTCCTTATAGCAAAATAATATGTTTGCACTATTTACAAAAACAAGGTTTCCATGACACAGATAAAATTCACCCTTTACACTAAAGCTTCACACACAAGGCCTTCTCATACTGAGGCCTACCACACAATCAGGCCTGCTAACGATGAGGTCTATTCTCCCACTGAGGCGATCTCTCACACAAAGAGGCTTCTCTCACACTGAGAGCTCTCTCAGACTGAGGCGTTACTAAGCAACAGGCATACCAGCTTATATTGAATCACATCTTCTTTGAATCACTACATCCATTTAACCCTTTCAGTGCTTGACTCACATGTTTATAATTAAAAAGACCTAACTAATTTTTAATATTTCTGACAATGAGGTACAGCAAGAAGTTGTTGAAGGCATAATACAGAATGAGTGAAACATCTAAGGTTTTATTATTGTTGGCATATGCATATATTTGAAATAAAACTGTGTTGGTATTGTATTACTCAAGGTGTATAAGTATAATTGCACGGTACCACTTTAAGTGCAATGGCTCCATTAAATGAAATCCTAGGAATTGTAGTTTGTTGATATATTGCTTGTATGTAAAGATGGCTGTCTACTAATCCCCCCCCCCCCCAATAAACTTCATAGGGTTTACTTTGTTTCTGAGAGTGCCTTGGACTGTGAGAAGATCCAACCAGTCCATCCTCCAAGAAATAAAGCCCGACTGCTCACTGGAGGGAAGGATACTAGAGACAAAGTTGAAGTACTTTGGCCACATCATGAGGAGACAGGAAAGCCTAGAGAAGGCAATTATGCTGGGGAAAGTAGAAGGTAAAAGGAAGAGGGGCCAACCAAGGGCAAGATGGATGGATGGCATCCTTGAAGTGACTGGACTGACCTTGAAGGAGCTGGGGGTGGTGACGGCCGACAGGGAGCTCTGGCGTGGGCTGGTCCATGAGGTCACGAAGAGTCGGAGACGACTGAACGAATGAACAACAACAAACTTTGTTAATTTTTTCTTTAGGAACATAGCACCTCGTATTTGTTGGCAATCTCCCATCCAAGTAATAATCAGGACTGACCTTGCTTAGCTTTCAAAATTAGATGGGATCTTGTCTTGTTAAGCTAGGTGACCTTCTGTTAAAAGGGCAGTGTGAAATATTTGGGTGTAACAGTTGGAGAGCTTATGTGGCCCTGAAAGGACAATAAAGACCTGTTAGCTTTAGAAAACACGTCATGTATATTCCAAGGGTAAAACTGGTTTGCTGCTCTGCATCTGCATTTGGGGGATTTTTCTTTGGGGTGTGGTGATGGGGGCTCCCATGATGGGATTATCCTTAGTCCACCTCTGATGGTGTGCTTGTAAAGAGCTTTGGCTATTTGCATTTATTCACAGTTGGGTTTTTCTCATGTAAGTGAGAAGGAATGCATTTAAATAGGTGGGAGTTGTTAAGCAAGAAGCCTGATATTTTTCAAAGGCTTTAATTCTGCCCTGTCTACCTCATCATCCCGCTTCTTTTGCCTAGGCTGCCAGCTGAGATCTGGGCCTCCGGAGAGCTGTGTTTAGTTTTATCTTCCCTGCCCAGGATGGCTGCTTCTCCGCTTCCTCCTCTCCCTGCTTTTGTGCTGCTATGAACATCACTCCCTGGAACATCCTACTGGGTTTCACCACAGGGAAGCTATAGAGTTGGTGACACCAGGCCACTGGCAGAAAGAATCCCCTTAGTCTAGAAGTGACAGCTTGTTGCAGTAAAAATAGGAAAGGCAAGCAATGTTATCATTCACACCGGAGATAAGCAAGCTAGATAGTCAGAGGATAATCGTGGAGCCATAGACACCATGCATCCAGCTTCTCATTATCTGCACAGCACTGCATGGATAATTAACATGGTTCAATAAGCCTGAAGCAGCTGGGAAGGGCTTCGGCTTTGCCCAAAAGTGGCAAATCACGATGACCTTAGAGGAGGAGAAAACAGCAGCTACTACACTCTTGTCTTTTTGGAAGCGACATCTGGGCTGAAGCCATCCTCATTGATCAGATAGAAATATGGAAATGATAGAGCAGGTTAGTGGCCCCGTTTTGTCTGTTTGTGGTCACATCTCTTAATGGGTAATTGTTAGAAGACCTCATAAAAGCTATGGGTGGAACTAGATCCAAATGTAGATAAAGCTGCTATTTCCTCCTAACAATTCCTGCCTTGTGGCCTATTGGATCTGCTCCTGCTAGACATTTTAATGGATTGCCAGCTGACTTCTAATCCTGTAACGGGGCTAAATAATGTGAAGAGCCATATTACAGAAACAGTGACAGAGAAGGCTGTGTCTCAGGTTTTACCAAATGATCCTAAGAGAAGGTCCTCGAGCTCTAATAGGCTCATCAAAGAAAATACCCTCATCCCGAACCATACAGGGCAGTGTTTCTCAACCTTCCTAATGCCGCAATCCCTTAATACAGTCCCTCATTTTGTGGTGACCCCCAACCATAAAATTATTTTTGTTGCTACTTCACAACTGTAATTTTGCTATTGTTATGAAGCATAATGTAAATATCTGATATACAGGATGTATTTTCATTCACTTGACCAAATTTGGCACAAATGCCCGATACGCCCAAATTTGAATACTGGTTGGGTTGGAGTTGCTGGGATTTATTGTTAACCTACAATCAATAAGTATTCTGAACTCCACCAACAGTGGAATTGAACCAAACTTGGCACACAGAACTCCCATGACCAAGAGAAAATACTGGAAGGGTTTGGTGGGCATTGGCTTTGAGTTTTGGAGCTGTAGTTTACCTACATCCAGAGAGCACTGTGGACTCAAATAATGATGGATCTGGACCAAACTTGGCACAAATATCCAGCATACCTAAATGTGAGGAAAATAGACCTTGACATTTGGAAGTTGTAGTTGCTGGGATGTTTAGTTCATCTATAATCAAAGAGCATTCTGAATCCCACCAACAATAGAATTGGGCCAAACTTCCCACACAGAATCCCCATGACTAACAGAAAATACTGATGGTCTTTGGTGACCCCTCTGACATTTGTGACCCCCCCCCCGGGGTCCCGACCCTCTGGTTGAGAAACGCTGATATAGAGCTTCATAGGTCATAATCTACACTTCAAATTGTGTCTACAAACTGACTTGTAGTCAGTGGAGCTTTTGCAACAAAGATGTTTGCTCTCTATAACCAGCTCCCCTTTACAATCTGGCTGCCACATGTTCAACCATCTAAAGTTTTTGAACACTCAACAAGAAGTGCCCCGTGTAGAGGAGATCATAGAAACCCAACTGGGATTTAAATAAAGCATGTATCACTGAGGCCAAGCAACTTTAGTATTCTCTCCCAGGGAGATTTGCCTAGAAAACTTCCTCTGACATGCTTTCTATGGGATATTCTTATTTTTCTTCCAGGCTTCCTTTTATTTTAACAGTTTTGATGCTATAGAGCAGGTATGGGCAAACTTGGGCCCTCCAGGTGTTTTAGACTCCAATTCCCACCATTCCTAACAGCTTCGGGCCCTTTCCTTTTCCCCCTCAGCTGCTTAAGTGGGGTCCAAGGCTGTCAGGAATGGTGGGAGTTGGAGTCCAAAACACCTGGAGGGCTCAAGTTTGCCCATGCCTGCTATAGAGTGTTGTGTTGCCTAAATTGCACCTTACTATGCTGTCACATCTGATTGTTTTTTTATCACTATATCTGTTGCTAGTATATATTGTACAAACTACTCTGCAAATCTGTTTATTGCTTTGTAGCGATTTCTGCCATCTGCCTGTTCGTTAGGAGTTCTGTTTCTCTTTTGCTTGCTTTGCTCTACAAGATGACACTGAAAGTTGAGGATGGTTCATTGCGCATTTCCTGCTGACACCACTTTTCTCATTCCAGAGGACAGGTGTACCATGTCGTCCGACCAGACTTCTCAGCCCACCGTGCCACCTCTCCACTCTCCAAAGTCACCCGTTTGGCCCATTTTCCCCTTTAATAGGGAAGGAAGCCGCATCTGCGAGAGGGGTAGCCACCTTCTTCGAGACTTGCCAAGCCCCCTCCCCACAAAAAGAACCAGGACATACTCTGCGTAAGTAGCCAGACTGCATTATTGGGGAAGGGCATTGGCAGGGCAAGGTGTGTGCATGGATGCTAAAATTGCTTAATTCTTGGGTCTTTTCAGTAGTATGTAATGATATGGAATGCATTGTTGGGATTGGGAGAGATGTGAAATTGTTCTCTTAATTATACCTCTGAGCCTGTTCTCAGTTGTACTTGCAGTTGGAATCTGACTCATTTGTGCTATAACTCTTTATTACTTTAATCCAGGTTTAATCCTCGGTGGAGCTGTCAAACAGATTCTAATTTCTGCTGTCTTTGGCTAGTTCTCCACCCAGCAGTTATATTAAGTCCTCTAGTACTCATAACTCAGAACAGTTACCAGCAGGGTAGCCCCAGGGTCTAAATGACATGAAATAACATTAAGACTGGAAAGACACTGAATACCTCAGATAGTAAACAGAGCTGTCTTAAGACATTTTATTGCCTGAAGGAAAGCAGTACATGGGTGCTCCTGATGATCCAAAAATGCTAGTTCATTGTTACCTGAGACACCCACATTATCTATATAAATAAAAATGTAATGTTCTTTTGTGGGATTAACAGAACTCAAAAACCACTGGACGAATTGACGCTAAATTTGGACACAATACACCTATCAGGCCAACGAGTGACCATCACTTATAAAAACACTGAAAAACAAGGCAGAAGAGACTTTAAAAGCCAAAAAACAACAACATTACAACGCATGTGCAAAACCAAGCAAACACACATATATACACAAATATATAAGGTAAAGGTTTTCCCCTGACATTAAGTCCAGTCGTGTCTGACTCTGGGGTGTGGCGCTCATCTCTACTTCTAAGCCAAAGAGCTGGAGTTTTCTGTCAAATACGACAAGTAAGAATCTGGGGTGTTGGTGAATGTGTGGCTGTTTTCCCATTTGCATCTGGATATTGGGTAGGAGGATTTATTGCACTCACTGAGCCTGAACCTCAGTTATGTTCCTTTTTTCTCAGCCATATTGTTTTGATGTTGTTTATAATTGTCATTGTTTTATATTTTATCTGATTTTTTAATTGTCTGTGTTTTATTTGTTACTTTTTGGGCTTGTCCCTTATAAGCCACCCTGAGTCCCCTTGGGGAGATGGTTGGCAGGGTATAAAATAAAGTTGTTGTTGTTGTTATTATTATTATTATTATTATTATTATTGAAAGTGTTGTTTAGACGGCATCTCTTGGTTGCAACCATCAATGCAGCTCAGACTCTTTCTTATCTCCCTTTTTGCTCCTCCTCTTCATTTTTTTCAGAACGGCTCGGGCTTCTGCTGGTCCTGTCTTTAAAGGTGTATGTAAGCAGTTTTCACGCTCCCAGGGCCATGGTTTCATCACCCCGGAGAATGGCACAGAGGACATATTTGTCCATGTTTCTGAGTGAGTTCTGTGGGGAGCTGGGTCAGAATGCTTTATGTTTCACATCGTCATCCAGGGCCCTTCCAAACAGCCATAGGTAAATGTAAAGGTTTCTCCTGACATGAAGTCTAGTCGTGTCTGACTCTGGGGTGTAGTGCTCATCTCCATTTCTAAGCCAAAGAGCCTACGTTGTCCATAGACACCTTCAAAATCATGTGGCCAGCATGATTGCATGGAGCACTGTTACTTTCCCGCAGAAGTGGTACCTATTGATCTACTCACATTTGCATATTTTTGAACTGCTAGGTTGATGGAAGCTGGGTCTAACAGCAGGAGCTCACCCCGCTCCCCGGATTAGAACCGCCAACATTTTGATCAGCAAGTTCAACAGCTCAATTGTGCCACTAAGGGGCCCACACAGTCATATAACCCAGAATATCGAGGTAAAAAATCCCACAATATCGGCTTTGAACTGGATTATCTTAGTCCACACTGCCATATATTCCAGTTCAAAGCAGATAGGTGGGATTTTATTCAGCTGTGTGGAAGAGGCCACAAATATATTTTGAGCACTCTCTGCTCTTCTTTCTCATCCCACCCAAAAGTGTGTCAGTGCATTAATGTATCATATAGCACAGTACATACTTGTTAAGGAGATTTCATTCCACACTGTTAACTTGATGTTGACGGAAAATGTTATTTTTATATGTGAATTGAATGGAAAATCATCTTTTAAGTCTCTAAATAACTGCTTGAGACATCAGCTATTGCATGGTGTGATGTAGCCTAGATGCAAATGTGCCATAGCATCTCCTACTTTTTCCACCTTTCCACCTACACAATGTGATCTGAAAATCCTTTTATGCAAAATCTCATTTAAAATGTTGTCAGGAAATCCAAATAACTTAGAAAGTTCAGCTGAATTCGTGTGGTAAGACAGAAGCACAGGGCTGTGTAAAACCCCCTCCCCTCCATGTTTAGGCACAACATAAAAACTCACTGGGTGAGCTTGAGACAGCCATTCTCTTTTCCCCAACCTACTACAATTGATTGTAAGGACAAAGGGGAGAGGATAAAGTGGAGTAAGGATAAAATGGCAAAATGGCTGGATCTTCACTGCCATAGTAATGTAGTTTGGAACTGCATTATATGATCAGTGTAGACCCATAGAATGCAGTTCAGTATTATATGGATCTACAACTGCATTATATGGGTCTGCCCCAGGCATGGGCAAACCTCGGCCCTCCAGGTGTTTGGACTTCAACTCCCACAATTCCTAACAGCCTCAGGTCCCTTCCTTAACGTATTGTGAAACTGATATAACAGTTTCACGCAGATATACATGAAGTCTCACTTTCCCCACAAAACTGTGTTGTATAGAATCCTTTGAAGAAGCCAGTTTGTTTCAGACTCATTTCTACTTTATGACGGTATTTCATGATAGCAACTATTCTTCACCTCAACTGAGTAGCTAATTCTAAACGATTCCTTCTTTTCCTTTCCAGCATCGAGGGAGAGTATGTTCCAGTAGAAGGAGATACGGTCACATACAAAATTTGCCCGATCCCACCAAAGAACCAGAAGTTCCAGGCTGTGGAGGTGGTTCTCACCCACTTAGCTCCACACACAAAGCATGAAACATGGTCAGGGCAAATCATTGGCTCTTAAACTGCTTTTTGGGCTTGCAGGTAATCTGCACCAGGAAATGGAGGCGGATGGCATGGGTGGGTGGTGTTGGAATTCATTACTGGAGCAATGGAAGAGGCCTGGCTGGCTAATCTTACTTGCAGTGTAACATGTTTGCATTTATATCTTGTCTTTTCTAAGATTTACCTTATTGGGGAGGGAAGTAGTAAATGTATTTTTTTTCCCAATGTTGGCAAGCAGGAAGTGGAAAAGTAGGTGGATTTGTCATGAATTCCCAGTCATACCAAACTGAGCAAAAGCAAAGCTCTTGGTTTGTGTAGGTGTGCATTTTGTTTGTATGTATGTGTATCTTCATCCAGAAAGATTGGCCTCTCTCTCACGCTACACATTTGTAGCACTTTGGTCTCACTTTAATTGCCCTGACTGAATCCTATGAAATCCTGGAAAATGTGTAGTTTCATAAGCCATTTTAGCATTCTGTGTTAGTTGATTCACCAAACCACAAATCCCAGTGTAATGTAGGATGCAGACATGGCTATTAAAGTAGGATCAAAGTATTATTACTATGTAGTGTGGAAGAAACTTGATGTTTATCTTGCTGCTACTCCAAGCATATCGACAAAAAATGTTATCCTACTTTCCCTTGACCATTTTTCTTACTCTTTCCAAACACTGTCCAAGCATAGAACTCACCCTCATCCCTCCAGCTTTGCATTAAGCTCTTTACTCAACCAGAACAAGAATTAAATGTGGCTGTAAAAAAATCCTCTATTTCTGGGGACAGTGGCCTCATAGCATTGGGGCTGTAGTGTCTTCCAGAACCTTTGTCACATGGTGGTGCCAATTATGGAGATACTTGAAGGTGTATTGCTTGTCTGTGACCTCTCCTCTGAAGGAAGGAAGTTCATCCGCTTTAAACCATTGGATCATTGTCCATCTTTGCCAGAATCTGCTGAAGTCGGTGGCTAAAAGTGAACTTTGAATATAGGATTGATAGTGCTGTGATTGCCACTGCTTTCACTTACATCTCAAGCACTGGATGTATCCAAAATGAGTTCTGCAGAAAGCTAGGAGAATGGAAAAATCACAACAGAGTATTAGAAAAACAAAACAAAACAAACTACGATTCCCTCTGGGGTTTTTTTTTCCGTGTCAGAAGTGATTTGAAAAACTGCAAGTCACTTCTGGTGTGAGAGAATTGGCCATTTGCACTGACGTTGCTCAGGGGATGCCTGGATGTTTTGATGTTTTACCATCATTGTGAGAAGCTTCTCTCATGGAGCTGGAGCTGACAGAGGGAGCTCATCCATACTCTCCACAGATTCGAACCTCTGATCTGTTGGTCTTCAGTCCTGTCGGCACAAGGGTTTAACCCATTGTGCCACCAAGGGCTCCTTCCCTCTGTTGTGATAGCCAGCATTGAATTTGTGAAATATATTCTGATATGGCAGATGAAGACCTGCCAACTTTGTTTTGTTATCTGTTTATGTAAGGAATAGGATTTGAAGGCTTAAGGATTTGAGCTACAGGACAGCAAGACCCTGGCACTATTGTCATGGTATCTAATGAATTCTGGGAGTGGTAGTTATTTTTAAAACACCCCTTTTCCAGGATGTAATTCTAGATTTATGAGGCACTGAGCATAAGCACTGTCTGATGTCACTGTTGAAACTATTTTTGGAACTGTATCACCCAGTGATGTTTCTATGTGTTAAGTTAGATGTAATGCAAGTTAATATCTTCTACTACAAATGAGAATTCTGTACTTTGTATTTAAGTTTGGGTACTTAACTCTCCAGATAAAAAGCTAGGCATTCTTGTAAACATGTTATCAGGTTTTATTTAATATACAATCTTTCAGAATGCTATGCAGATATTATCTATTGCTGTAGAAAATGTCCACATTTTATGTTGACGGCCATACTGTTGTTCATTTTGAGTCTAGACTAGGAGAAGGGGAGGACACTGAATATAAATATGATTTTTCCAGGGTACATGAAAGTCTGTGAAACTCCAAGTGAACCCTAGGAGGCCAGACTGTAGCTTCTGGGAGCTTCATATGGTTCATGGATCATGTTTTACTCACTTTTGACTTAGCCTTTTGTCAGCTGTGTATGTCTGTAATGTGTTAGTCTTGAGAATGATGGTTCTGACAAGTTTTATCCACTTCTGCTTAGCTAACTTTATAAAAAGAGCTCCATCCTAAAAAGCATCTGGACATGTAGCAATTTAAAGGAAACCTTTCCAGAGTTGCTCGTCCCCAGCTTGGGTTGTTGTGTGTGTTTACGGGTTGTATGGCCATGTTCCAGAAGCATTCTCTCCTGACATTTTGCCTGCAGAGGACCTCACAACCTCTGAGGATACCTGCCATAGATGCAGGTGAAACACCAGGAGAGAATGCTTCTGGAACATGGCCATACAGCCCAAAAAACACACAACAACCCAGCGATTCCAGCCATGAAAGCCTTTGACAATACATAGACCTTAATTCCTCCCCCGGACCCCATAAAGAACAGGGGTGTATTTGAAAAGTGCCAGTTACCCCTGTAAATAGCAAGTAGTTTGTTTAAGATGACAATAGGACCAGGGTCTTGCTTTCATCCTATTGGTGTATATATGTGTATTATTTAACACAATCTGGCTATTTGTTTTCTAAGGTGCTCTTTCTCCATTACACTTGAAGGGGAATTCATGTTATGCACTATCTGGAGTTACATTAGTGTCTTAAATTGCTGCAAAATATTATGTCAGAAGGACATCCGATGTAGCCATTTCCATTAGTTTCAATGAGATTAGGTGCACAAAAGCTTGTAATGGTGTGTGGGTCTGTAGTCTTTTCTCTAGGCTGAAACCAAGACAGCATTCTATTTTCCATATATGTGAAAACATAAGGCTGTCCCCTGAAGGAATTTGTTTCACTTTAAAGGCATGCCAAGAGAGAGAGAGAGAGACAAAAGCATTTTTGTGAGCAGAATTTGTTCTGGTAACATCTGGCATGGAACAGAGCCTCTGGGATGCATCTGTTTCATCCACTTGGACATGGCAGCTCTTGGCAGCAGCAATCTCCTTGGAGAAGGATATTTTGGATTGCTGTACCTCCAGAGACGTAGGCTTCAGCATTGTCTGTGTATTGTATTTCTGATCGTTGGAGATGGTGTGTCTCCTCAGGATAGTTGTTTGGGTTTCTTTTTCCGTTCCTTTCTTCTCATCTCCGAAACTGAACGTTTCAATCCTTACCCTCTATGTGTCTTGTTTTGTAGTCAAACGTGCGGGAAAATAAAGAAGGAGTGATGATAATATATATTTGTGGGGCAGTAATAAATAATGGGATTTTTGTGGCATTATTGTATTGAGTCCTTCCTGCAGTTATGATTTGGCTCTGCCTAACCTTTCCCAAACACTTTACTACTTATCCCCAGGATATACAGGGTCATGTCTAAAAGCACAAACCTGGTTTCTAGTATTCTTTATATGTTCGTAGTAGAATGGTTTCCCAGGAGAGGTTGTGCAAGCTAGGAGGCTGCCGGGTCGTTTGCAATCTCATTCTGAGTAGATTGACAAGTCCACAGCTCCTTGGGCAATGCCTTACCTGAGGTTGTCAGACCTTGGAGAGAAGTTTGTTACGCATGTCAACTTTTGGTGCACGAAAAGGAGTCATAATTGTTCTAGGAACTAGCAGAGTTTGAATGAAATGAACTAGCACAGAGTTTGAATGTATGCACATGGGAAGCTGAGGACATGTGATGCCTTTTGAATGAGGCAAGGAAAGCCTGATAGGTAGAGCCCATAATGTACTGGCATCATAAGAATGAGGCTGCTTTTCAAAGTTGCATTTTTTTGGTACTGGGATACTTCTTTAGATGCTTTGAGATAATATGTGAATGTGTGTCAAATGCTTATCTAATCGCCATGATTCATAATTTTGGTGACATGAAATTTGAAGGGGGCTTCCAGTTATTTCCCCAGTAATCACATTTTTGCTTAAAGCAGTGTTTCTCAACATGGGGGTCAGGACTCCTAGGGGAGTTGCAAGAGGGTGTCAGATGGGTCGCTAAAGGCCATCAGAAAACACAGTATTTTCTGTTCCTCGTGGGAATTTGGGAAGTTTGGCCAATTCTATCATTGGTGGGGCTCAGGATGGTCTTTGATTGTAGGTGAACTATATATCCCAGCAGCTACAACTCCTAAATGTCAAGGTATATTTTCCCCAAACTCCACCATTTGGGCATATTGAGTAGTCATGCCAAGTTTGGTCTAGATCCATAATTGTTTGAGTCCACAGTGCTCTCTGGATGGAGGTGAACTACAACTCCAAAAACCCAAGGCCAATGCTCTCCAAATCCTTCCAGTATTTTCTATTGGTCATGGGAATTCTGTGTGACAAGTTTCGTTCAATTCGATTGTTGGTGGAGTTCAGGATGCTCTTTGATTACAGGTGAACTATAAATCCCAGCAACTACAACTCCCAAATGACAAAATCAATCCCCCCCCCCCCCAACTCCACCAGTATTCAAATTTAGGCATATCGGGTATTTTTGCCAAATTTGGTCCAGTGAGTGAAAATGCATATCAGATATTTACATTACGATTAATAACAGTAGCAAAATTAGAGTTATGAAGTAGCAACAAAAATAATTTTATGGTTGGGGGGTCACCACAACATGAGGGACAGTATTAATGGGTCATGGCATTAGGAAGGTTGAGAAACACTGGCTTAAAGCAAGTGCCCAGGGAACACACACCTTGTTTCCAAGGAGAATTGTGTATCCAAGCATGTGATTCTCTTTTCAAGTAAGTGAAAATGGTTTCATAAAACACATTGGTTTGGGTGGTAACTGACTCATTACTCCATCGACTAATAGGGCAGCCTCTAGATCAGGTATGGGCAAACTTTGGCCCTCCAGGTGTTTTGGACTTCAACTCCCACAATTCCTAATAGCCGGTAGGCTGTTAGGAATTGTGGGAGTTGAAGTCCAAAACACCTGGAGGGCCAAAATTTGCCCATACCTGATCTAGACCTTGATCTGATGTAAGCATTAAACAAAATCACATTAGTCTTTCCAAACTGAACATCCTCACTTAGGATTTGTTTAATGCTTTCTCATGCATGGAGAATACAACACTAAGAAAATTTCAAACTTCTCATTGATGTGCTCTTTACTATACAGCGGGAACATTTGTGTAAACAATGGTTCATAAATGGCTGCCGACCCAGCCTACTGTGAAGTAACACAGTCCCCAGAGACTTCAATGTGGATTCATTGAATGCTTATCACTATGAATACAAATTCAGCAGTCTCCAAGCAGCAC